ACATCGCACTTCAAGCCCGGGCAACTATCATTTGTCTTAGGGTTGTCGTTCTAGGAGGAAGAAGATTGGGTTACCTTTCGAAGATCTGGTTTACAGCCAACGAACGAAGCGATTTCGTCCATGTATTTCACATAATCCACCTGAAACAAAGACTTAAAGCTTAGAGAGGGTGCTCAACATCAGTCGAGCTGCTTTTAGACTACCCGAAGGCGCGCGTCATAAAGCGTCGACGCGCTTCACCGCAGAGCCTGAACACAGCCTAAGGATTACTGACCTGTATCGTATGTTTCTCACTCTGGAAATATCTTCTCTTCATCGCTTGCCTCTTCAAAGTGATGTCTTTCCACATCTCATCCTTAGAGGGAAGTTTGAGCTTGTCGACAAACACTTGCGTTACCCAGCGAGCCTGAACCGAAACGTTTCAAAGACAGTCCATGCTAATAGTAGGGGCGGAGTCAGGAATACCGTTGTGCCTTCGCAATTGTAGTGTCACTTATTTCCAATATAAAAGGGGGAGTGACGCAGCAATGATGTAGGAACAACAACAGGCCCGACTCCATCCACACAATCAGCGTGGAAAGCTTAATGATCTTGGCTAACCTGAATTTCAGAGATGGGGATGATACTCCCAATTGGTTGAATCATTCCAATCACGGCTAAATTTGTATTGTTGGGTGGAAAAACGAATTTGTAGAGCGGCACTTCGTGATGCTGAAACGAGTGACTTTCGTGGAAGTTCTCTTCCTAACTAGAAAAAAATATACCTCGATGCTTATGATGTTCTTGTCCAGGTAAGGGAAACCAAAGGTGTACCCAGTGCATGTGATAAGCACGTCACAATCGTAACTCTTACCGTTCTTCACTATTACTTTGTCCGCAGTGAAAGTATCGATGTCATCCTTCAATTAATTTGTTTCGCTCAAATCATGAACACTTATGAAATGATTCTTGAAAATTTCTATTTACTGAATATTTTGTGAAGTATACAGTTCAACTTTCGCTAGAAAACACCAGAGGGAGCGTTCAGACTTCGCGATGACGTGCTGTGACGCGTTATATTTGCAGCAG